CCGATTAGTACATCATTATGGAAATCGATGAGATGCGAACAGTCTTACTATTAAACCGATTATCTACTTTGTATAAAAGTAAATCAAAGACAAGAAATGGTGAAGAAGCATGCCATTTTGCATAAAACAAAACACAAGTACTGTGGTTTTCATAATCTTTGTTGACAATTGAGAAACTGTTTTAAAAATTCAACTAGTCAAATAACTCAGGCAGTTCAAGGTGGTATTTGATTATTTTAATTCTCTTGGTGTGTAAAAGATGCAAATTTTATGTAATTTCACTCATTCAGAACACAAATAATAGTTATATATTACATGCATGCTGGGAAAAATCTTCAATTTGAATCATATGCAATTATTCTTCTAAGTTCTTTCATTGCTTATTTTCATTCAGTATAAAATTCTGTCAATAATCATTCTCTTATTTGAATAATGATGACAACGAATTAGATCAAACATGAATATCCGTAATTTGATCCGAAAAAAAAAATCCACCTAATACTAAATCTTACTTGCATCAATATTTTTTTAAAAAATATTTACAGATATTTTAAAATCCGTAGATATCCGAAATACCTTGAATATATACATATATTTAAAAAAATATATTTTTATAAATTATTAAAATAAAATTTAAATAAAATTACAAAAGGTATATAAAATATAATATAAATTGAAATTTAATTTTAATTAAATTTAATCTTATAACAAATAAATTAATTTTAATTAAATTAAATATAATAAAATGTAAATTAAATTTTTATTTTTAGTTTTTATGAATAACGATAATACTTACGATCAATTTGTTTATAAATGAATATTAAAATCTGTTTATAAATGAATATTAAAACACCATTTTAGATAATAAATATCCACAATATCAACTATTATTGACGAATTATACAGATTTGTTTTGGCATGCTAAGCATTACTAGTTATTACCACCAGCTATAGTTTTCGCCAATTTTAATTAACCAATTAAAACCAAACATGTTTTGCTGTCTTTACTGCTATTCTAGCCGTGCATCCTTGGATTTATCTTCCTTAATAACTGTTGATAATTTACAGTGTAGTATTTATGTTTTATTCTTATAAGTTTAATTTTAATTGTGCTACAATAATTACTAAAAACAATAGAGTACTTATTAAAAAGTATGAAAATTAATATTTTTAATACATATTATTATTGTGATTGTTAATAATAAAATTTTCATATATTACTTTGTTACAAAATATATTTCTTTAGTCATTACTTCCATAAGACAGTAAAAGTAAAATAACTTTTATTTTAGTGTTTGAAAATGTTACTGTTATTTTTTATTGCACAACCACTCTCACCAAAACCGAAGGCCATTATTGGCTAAACAATAAATCTCCAACAATAAAAGTTGTTACTGTCTTGTCACATCCTTATGCAAGTCTTACCTTGGAGTACATCTATTATTACCCAATCACCGTATATCTTCGCCAGACAATATTATGCTATTATGTTGCTAATTCTTGTAATTTCAAATGCTAATTACAATTCGGATATGAATAATGTTTTTTATAACTCGATGTATAAAATATATATATATATATATATATATATATATATATATATATATATTTAAAAATATTGGTGAATATTTAAAAGTATATATTTTATAAATTTTTAAAATAAAATCTAAATAAAATTATAAAATATAATATAAATTAAATTAAATATAAATATAATTTTAATTAAGTTTAACCTAATAAAATATAAATTAATTTTAATTTTAATTAAATTTAACTTAATAAAATATAAATATAATTTTAATTTTAAACACATCTGTACTCAACTCTTTTATAAAAAAAAATTAAAATATCTATGCATCCATATATGAATTATTTATCACAAATTTTATCTGTAAATATTTACAAATATAAATATTTTTATCATTCTTAATTATAACAGTTTAATAAAATTAAATAAGTAGGAATTTAAAAAAAGAAGAAGTTAGAACTACCATATTAAAAAAATAATATAAGTCAAAAATCCCCAAAATTATTGTTTTAAAGTATTTTGGTATCTTTTATTTAAAGACCTACACATTTAGACATTTAATATGTAATGCATCACTCTCGTGTGATTTGTAATTGTTTTCATTTTTTTTCTTCAGCTTGTTTTTGTTTATAATTCTCCTATAAATTGAATCGTTGGGAATATTATCCACAGCCAAAAGTATCCAATATCCTCAATAAGACTTACGTAAACAATTTTGCACTGCATATCCATAAACTTTAATGAATCAAAAAGTAATATGGCTTTATTTGTGTAAATATATATGATGAGTAAAAAACAAAAGTTGTATACATATATGGTTAAGCTGGATAAGATATTTTGTTAAATATTTACACATACTACGATTTCATTAAAGTTAGAATTCGGTATAAGAAAATTATGAACTCTGTTATTTTTTATAATTTCTTTTTTAGAAAATCTCATCCTCCTTTTGAACAAAAAAAAGAAAAAAAATCAAAATTCGATTATTTAGAAACGGAATTCTAATTTGTTTCTCAAACAGTTTCCTTCCGATCACAATTCACATTTTGACATGAAAAAAAAAATGTACTGTCTATGTAAATATTTAACATAATGTGTTATTAAAATTATTTTTTTAGTATATGTGTGGTATTTGAATGAAAAATTCTTACATATAGCAAGTGAAAGAGTAATACAAAAAATGACACTTTTGATTAAAAAAGAACATGAGTTGTATACAAGTATAAGGTAATGATAAGAGTGAATAAAACTAAAATGGCATGCCCCATTTGGTAAAGCTTTAGCATTAGTTAGAAACCCTAAGTGAGCTCTAGCCTAAACAATGTAGAAGACATATATGGTTAAACCTATTTGGTTTATCTCATCCTAATGTCGGTATCTATTTGTCCCGAATCAACTATACAAACTACATATTTTAAGGTGGTAGTTATGAGGCACCACTCACTACCTTCCAAAATTTTCACCAACATTACCAATTTCATATGCAACTATCATGACGTTCATCACTCGTCACATTTTGTTGCCTATGAAAACCTTTCTTTCTGCTTTTGTTTCCATCCATTCCTCTTCTTCGTCAACGATCTTCTTCTCTTTTTCATTACATTTTCCTTTGTATTAGCCATGTGAGTGAGTGGTCCTTTTGCTTGTTCAAAGGGTATCATGATAACGTATGGAGCTTGAGTCACTTTGGTACAAAGACAAATTAAGATGGTGTGTGGTATTATAAATTAGTGTAGGACCTACTATTCCAGCATGCCCACTTGTTTTTCATCCTTTCTTCTCTACAACTAAGCCACTATCTCCTAAAAGGTAGGTATGTATGGTACATGAAGATGCATAGACCATGCTTTCATTTTCTTCTTAAATGTCTCTACTTACAACCCTTATATACTCACCTTAATTAAAATATTGCCTTAATCACACCCTTCATGCCTTGTCTTCCTGCTTATATTAATTGTACCCTTTAGATTCTTTATTGGATATTTTGGTATTATTTTCCCTTCAACATTAAATTTTTCGAATTTAAGTATGAGTAGGTTTCATGTTGAATAAAAACGAGAGAGTAAAATAACATATAAAAGTGAAGACTCATTAACTCATTGTCTTAAATTCTTTTAGTAAAAAATAACGTCATGTGAGTAAACTCAGTATATCTTTAAAAACCCTCTTTCTCGATAAACTTAACACCACTAAATGTTAATTTTCTAAGTATTTTCTAACATTCACAACATTGAGAGTATAGTAACTCATGTGGGTGTTCTTGTTTCACCTGAGTAGAGATGATTGAATTGGTGTAGGGTATGGTTTGCTTAGACCAGAAGCCCAAAGATAAGTCCTTAGTGGTGCCTCACATTATCATTGTCAACACAATGAAGAATGCTTCATGACTTGTGTTGAATTATTAGTTTTGGACAGCCCCAACAGTTCACACACTCCATTCTTGATTAAAGTATGCAACTTTATTCAGACCAGAATATGCAAAATCATCACATGCTAGTAAAATTCTGTTAACATACGCTTTGGATTTTCGTTTGCAGGACCTTGAGTTTCAAAAGAAATTGTCAAATCATTTTATTTATTTTTTTGCATTATAACCAGTTGCAGCAATACACATAACGTAATTTTGCACATTATCCCACTAGAACATTACTGGATGTTTATTACTCGTCCACATTTGCACCAAATAATGTTACCTCTGTATAATTAGTCTTCAAGTTTTATGTATTTTTAATTATTATGTATCATGAATTGCCAATGACATTGGCCTGGCCTGCCGTCCCTTTTGTTTAGAAAAGCAAAAATATTTAATCATTTTCCTGTTCAATTTTTAAATCAAATGTATAAAAGAAATAAAAAAAAAATATATATATATATATACACACACACACACACCTTTCCAATAAGTCCGACCCGATACTCAAAACTGAATACTATCCAAAAGTTCAACCTAAAGTTATGGACTCACTTAAATTCACTCTGATTTCATTTTAAATTTTATTGATAAATCCTGCTGCTGTATAAGAAATTTAATAGATAGTTATTATCTTTGTGATATTTATTTAAATTTTTATTTTAAGATTAGAAAAATAAAAATAATTTGTAATTATTTCATCTATAGATAAAGCACTAACTCTCATGTCCAAAAACGGAACTATTTTGACCTAAAGATAGTATAAACTTTGAAATCAAGAGATTTTGATAATTTTTGTCTTCGGTAAAATATATATAATCATCTAATCAGGGAAAAAGTTTAAGGGATAATCATAACAAAAATAAAAGTATTTGTATATAGTTTAAGAAAAACATGATAAAATGGAGAGAGGCCCAACTTGACAGGGCAGCACCCAGCAGGGGTTAAAGAGGTTATTGGTAAGTCAGAATGAGGTTAAACATGGATTATATCAAGTATAAACACCCACCAACCATACATAATACTTAGATAGATATAATCCATGGTAGATGAAGATAGATATAATCTAAAATGTCAATAGATATAGCACAACAAAAAAGTATGATCTGAAAGCCAGTTCCCATTTTCTTGCTGCACTTACACATGCATCTGTTCAATGGTTGAAGCTACAAGATCCATAGTTTGCTGCAACAGTAAGAAGCAACTTTTGATACTACTGGCTTCTCAAATCCTATTCCTAGACTAAGGTGAACTGTGAAGAGCATGATTAGATGTCTCGGATACAAAATGAAAGAAAGCTAGATTTCTTTGCTGGATTTGTTTTATTCTCATTAGAAATTCCAGGATGTCCCAACAAGTCATTCTACAACAACATTCACAAGTTCATACTCGATGAGAGACAAGTTGTTATCTTCCTTAACAGTGAAACTAGCAGGTTCTTTCACTTCCACTCGGCCCCACTTGTCCACAGCAAGCCTCATTGATCCTTTGAACATGTCAATTTTGGCATTTCGCAGGATCACAGTAGCACCCTCTTCCATCAAATCCACTGAACATAAACAAAATTGGAAACATGACAAATTGTTCATCATCTCAGCCAAAAATACAATACTCAACTTATTCCAAATCAATACTTTAAATATTCGTTTAGATTGCAATTTAATTTGAAAATTCTACATAAAATATTTTCAAGATTGTTGTTCAACTTCCAACCTAAAACATCAGTTTAACTTTCATGTTGAATACAAGTTGACAACTATTACGCTATTATTATCAAGGGAGAATTACAATACAATCTAACACTTACAAATATAAACAGTCATAGCAACGGAGTTATAAGTAAATAAGATTAGGCACTAGACCAAAATATGGACCGTAAGTAACAACAGGGTAGCTAAAGGGAAGAGAAACTAAGTGAGTATCAGAATTTCCGAGGGAAACATGTGTAATTAAGTTGAAGAGAAGGTGATTAAAAGGAGAAAGAAACAACAGGGTAGATATGACTAGAGAAGAAAAGGGCATGCGGTTGGGCTAGAGATTTTGTGCATCTACAGAACTCGGGATCTTTTATTTTCTGCATTTATTTGTGCAGGGAACTGGTCTCGTTACTTTTAGGGGAAAAAATCGGTTCCAATTAATTTTAGCATTTCAAACCACTGATTTGGTTATTTTTTTCCTAAATGGTAATTACTTTTTTCTATTAATTATTAAATTTAAGTTCTCCGTCATATATGATCCCTATAATATCATGAGAATACTGAACTTTTTCTATTAGTGAAAGTAATGGTCCAAAAACACATTCCACACTTCCACTATCATGAAAAAATGACAGTCTTAATGTAAAAGAAAGCAATCAGCAGGCATACACTTCCACTTCATGCTTGCTACTCTTTCTTTCAAAACTTCGCATCTGTAAACATAGTTTCTCTTTTAGTTCTACACTTATCAGACCTCAGCCATAGGGAGAATTCAAAAGCAGGAACAAGTAATAAACAGGAATAAGCAATATTGCATCTGCAATTCTGCTTCATTCCTTAATGTTAGCAAGGAAGAGAGCTTGTTCGTTTCTAACTTTCTTCTCAAACTCTCTTCACCCGCTCCCATTCCCCAAAGAACCTCAACTTAATTTGTTTCTGCTCACAGCTTAAGTAATAGATATATCCAAAAGAGCATACAAAACGTTGTTAGAAACTGGAACACACATTATTTCCTGATTATCCTAGACTGTGTAAGCCCAATTCAACCCGAAAAACAGCTCTTTAGTAGTGATACAAAACCCACACATTATTTCCTGATTATCCTAGACTAAGTAAGCCCAATTCAACCCTAAAAGTCATTCTTTAGTAGCGATACAAAACCCATACAACCAGTAGTTATATAAACTCCTGAGTTGGAAAAAACAATACTCACATGTCAAGCAAGTGCACAAGGA